CGGAGCACCAGTCCGTCGTCATCTAGATCTCGATCGAGGGCTGCAAGAGTCCTGCGGGCTGCTCAGCTGGGAGGCGCTAATGCACCAATCGCAAATACCTCTGGCTGCCAAAGACAGGAACCACAAGGACCAGGACCAGGCCGTTAGTCATTTGGGGACCCTTCGAAGGAAAGCATGGATCTCAGTTCAAGTGGGGGCCGGAAACCAGCAAACCACCCACGGAAACCGACCTGTCGCAGAATCCAAGACCAAGGAAGGGGAACTGAAAAGTCTTTTCCCCCCCATAACGCGACTCTCACATCACGCCCACTCACACACATGCAACATTCCCCGGATCCCATCTTCCTGCATACCCTAGTGGCGCTCCGTAGCCTCGTCCCTGGAGGTAGTGAGACTAACCTCCTAACGCAGTTGTAGTTTTCCCAATGTGTCGACCTGCAGATATCGGGGAGAGACATGCATGTACTAAGAATTCGGACAGCGCCCGTAAGAAAGCCCACATGCAAGATGGGGCATGAAGGGTTGTGCAGAGATATCACGCACGTCAAGGAAGCCACAAGACACAGGTATCAAGCCTCATTTCCGTTTCCCCATCCGCACAGCCGTACGGCCTTGTGAGATCATCGTCTGAGATATTGAAGATCAGCAAGGTATTCAGCGACCCGTTTGAAATTTCTCCATCCGCCTTCCGCCCTCCACCGTCACAAAGTCTTTCATGAAACTCCCCTTGGAGGCGTTTCTCAAACATTGCATTCTTCCCAGCATCAAGACGCGTGGTCAGCTCACCCGAAGCACGCCTAGCCCCCGTGGAAAACAATGGGAACAAACCGGACAAGAGAACTAGTAAAACTTTGCAAGTGCCTCATCCGACACATGCCAGTCCAATTTGTCTCGACCCCTAATCTACTGAATCGTGGGTAGAGAATGTCAAGATAGACACACACATCAAACAGACCAAGTCTAGCCCGTTATGAGAGCCAAGCCACCGAGAAACACACACACACATACACACATTCAACGCTGGGCCTTTAGGCTCCCGCCCGCGCGATTTACCACGTCTCATTCCCCGATAGTGCCCGTTCCTCGGTCTATCCAATCCACGCCTGGCCCAGACAGGCCCGCAAAAGCCGTCCCGGCCGGCTCACCTCTAGTGTCTCAGTCCGTCTCCTTTCGACCCCTGTCACAGTGCGACTTCACCTGCACCACCCTTTCATCTCTGCCTTCTGGGCAATTTGAGCCTCCTCAACTTCACTACACATGGTCCCAAGCACGTGGAACCTTTTCCGTCTAATCCTGCCTAAGGCTTCCCATCCATGGACAGCTCCGATCGGGAACGCACGCCAGATGAGACAGTGCGGTGTTGAGTTGCCCTCAGGGATTCACAACAACTCAAATCCCATTCCTCGGGGTTTCGTATCCTCGTCCCGGAAGCCTAGTGCCTACGCAAACCCTCTCCTGTGCGTTTACGAAAGACACGAGTCCAGAGTCAAGAATCTCACACGCCCCGGGCTCACGAAAAGCAATGTCTTCAGATTAGAGTTGCGTCCGTTCTCCCGGCCGCGCTACTCAGCTGAACCCGCCGCTAAGTACCAACACGCCCCCCTTCCACCCCCCTTTTTCTCGCCCAACCATCACCACTATCGCTAACTTGTCATCGTGGACCCCGTCGCGAAGCGTCGGGGACCAGCTCCACCAGATGCCAGGCACGACGCACGTCCGCGGGCCAGGGGCAAGGAAGGCCCAAGGAGAAAGGCTAGACGTGCATCCAAGACAATTGCCAGGTTCGGGGTCGATCGTCCCAAGATTGTGGGAAAAGGGTCACCAACAGGCGCGTCCCCCCCCCCCCCCCCCGGGGGGTCCCTGGGCCCTGGCACCCTCGAATTCTTGGGAGGCGTTCAATGTTCACTGGCGTTTTCCCTCCAAATGGCGTAATCTAACCCAGCCATGGTAGGTGACCCTTCCCAGCTCACATCTCATATCCGTCAGAGCCGCTGGCCACGCGAAGTGCAGATACGAAGACCAGGAAAAACCAAAAAAATGACGATGGTAAAACCATTCCTCTCAGAGGCTTCCACCCCGAGTCTAGCAGACAAGCGTGTAGAAAAACCAAACATGTCAGCATTGCTGAGTTCTCGACGCCGTCATGGCCATCGCCATGCTAACGAAGAACGCCTAGAGGGGTAAAAAAAAACCAATTACCGCAGCGTTTTGTCAACTCTCACAATCTCACAATTCAGCGAATATTTCCTCCGCGAGGGCTTTCTTTTGCACTTGCCCATTCGGAAGGTTTTGGGAAGAACTGGAGACAGAGTGGCGCTGTCAGCCAGGCCTTCTTCACCACGAGGGCTCACGGCGGGGAGCAGCTGAAGTGAGCCATGGCGCCAGCTCACCCACAATAGGCTGTTTGGAAATGTCTTTCTATCTCGATTCAGACTTCATGGCTGGAATAGGATGCCGTTCGATGCCCGTATGTTGCTTGTTTCTCAGCCTAAGCTGACATCAAGTGCCTTGATGAGCCCGGAGCCATCCTCGCTCTCTGGGTGGTTGCGGGTGACGCCAATCGGTAAATGAATTATGGAGTCGCGCATGAGGACGAGTGAGAATCCCATCTCGTTGAACCTCCCTCTTGAAACAGAATATTGAGTCCAAACCAACACTAGGCGATGATGACCAAGAGATTTTGCCGAAGCCGATCGGGGACAAAATCGTCAATCAGGAGATCGCCTGGGAGACCCGATCGGGTGTACCATGTACGTAATGTATTGCCTACCTTATGGGACCGGAGCACGGAGCAGCCAGACTCCGGGACTACCGCCGGAGCCCTCCGGCCTGGAATAGCCGGCCACGGATGACCAATGTGTCTGTGAAATTCAATGCCAGTGAGCTGTCAGGCGAAGAAACGCAGCCAAGTAAACGATCCATGTGAACAGAGGGCTCAATCCGCACAACTCTCCGCTGCGTTTCCCAAAATTGACGGTCTTCTTCATTCCCGCCAATCCCAGATGATTGATCCCGCCTGCTACCCCACCATCCAGGTCGGAGTCCGGGGTGCGGATGCGGCAGTCAACCCCGCATTCGCCGGCAGTCCCAGTTCCAGTACCAGGGCAAGGAAATATCCCGTGAATCCCGTCGACGCAAAGGTCCACGAGAGTGGGTGCGCCAAGTGATGTCGGCAGTGCTGGGAAATTCAAGCCTTGGCCTTGGTGAAGACTCAGTCAACTATCCGACCTCCAAATGATATCTGGATTGCAGAATTGAACTTTGAGATTCAGTCCATGGAGTGTGTCGTAAAGAATCACTCCGTTGTTGAGTTTGAGTTGAATGATACCAGAAAGAGCTTCAAAGAATTTCGTGTCACTCATGAGTCCCCGGCCGCTCGCCAACAGCCGGGTTCCCCTGATTCGTGGTTTCGACAAACCCCCGCAACATGCGTGCCCCGTCTTCCGGTTCCCGACAGCACCCCGGGAGCCGCCAATCGCAGACAAGAATTGTGCTAGCTCAAATGTGACTGTGCTGTCGAACAGGGACGTTAAATCAGGAGAGGGCATGATCATCGTTGCCCCAAGTAAAAGCTGTCAGCCCCTGGCATATTGGATCTCTCGTGACCTCCCATTCTGGGGTCTTTGCGGAAGGTAGGTTGCCTTTCTCAATAAGAGCTATGAGCGCAGTGTAACCATTCGCGCGGATGAAGAGGTAATTCCACATGGATTCGTTTGATGCCGGTCGACGGGAAAATAGATGACTGATGGAGCTTGCCATATTATCGCCAAGAAACTCAAAACAAAGCATCCTATAAATGCCGTCGGGTGAATATATAAACATCCGTGGTCATGGATATCTTGTATCTCGCATACCTCTGCCCCAAGCCCGTCTCTGATCCGCTCCCAGCCCCACGCTCCCCGTTCCGAGCCCCGTCACAATGAAGTTCTCCGCCATCCTCGCCCTCCTGCCCCTGGCGGCCCTCGCCACGCCGACACCCACCGTCGAGAAGCGCGCGTCCACCTACTGCGGCCAGTGGGACTCCGCCGTCACCGGCACGTACACCGTCTACAACAACCTCTGGGGCATGTCCTCCGGCACCGGCAGCCAGTGCACCACCCTGACCGGCCTGTCCGGCAGCAACCTCGTCTGGTCCACCAAGTGGAGCTGGTCCGGCGGCCAGTACAACGTCAAGTCGTACGCCAACGCCGTCGTCAGCATCACCAAGAAGGCGTTGAGCTCCATCGGCAGTATCCCCTCGACCTGGAACTGGAGGTACGTAGTCCAAATCCCTTTGCCATCCCGTTCAAGTGAGAGGAGGAATATGCTAACATGACCATGAACAGCTACTCCGGAAGCGGTCTCGTCGCAAACGTCGCCTACGACCTCTTCACCTCCTCCACGGCCTCGGGCTCCGCGCAGTACGAGATCATGATCTGGCTCGGCTCCCTCGGCGGCGCCGGCCCCATCTCCGCCACCGGCAGCACCATCGCGACCCCGACCGTCGCCGGCCGCACCTGGAACCTGTACAAGGGCACCAACGGCCAGATGACCGTCTTCAGCTTCGTCGCCCCCAGCAACGTTCAGAGCTTCAGCGGCGACCTCAAGGCCTTCGTCACCTACCTCATCAACAGCCAGGGCCTGCCCTCGTCCCAGATCCTGCAGAGCATCGGCGCCGGCACCGAGCCCTTCGTCGGCTCCAACGCCGTCTTCACGACCTCGGCGTACACCGCGGTCCTGAACTGAGTGAGTGTGAATGCGGGCTTAGGTCAGCTCGCGGGCGCTAGTGCAGATGAGCTGTCAGTTGGTTAGTTGTGGAGTTCTGCGCAAGCTGAGACAGACATGTCGATTTGGCATTAGTGTCTTTGAGCAGCTGGATCCTCCTTCTTCTTTCCTGTTCATACTTATTCCAAAACAAAGTATATATCACAAATGACCAAAATGCTTTGGGATTGAACCACCGTAAAGAGACGAGACAGAAACAAAACGTTGTGAAAGAGACATTTGAACATTGAAAGCTGCTATCGCCAGTAGTTTGGCGCTCGACAGTGTGCCACGCTCTGCTGAACAGAAACCTCGAGCTTTCCAGACCAAAAGGAATGCTGGAGAGGTCTGCTGACTCCAGCCATGCCTCCAACGGCCGCCTTCTTCGCTGCCTCGTATTCAGCCCTGCTCTCGAGCCGGAATTTCTTTATCGCCTCTAGAACATCCCGCATTTCGTGGAGTTTTGCGGGCTTCGGAGGCTTCAGCTCTGGCGGCATGACAATAGCGTCCCACGCCGCATGAAAGAGCAGTGCGCCCGGTGGGACGCCCGCCTTGATGTGGTCAGGTGTTGCGGGACCGACTCTTGTCCTCAGCACTGAGTGTTGTACCAACTTCATGTACTCATTAATTGCGGCGGTAGTCGGCACACCGGGTCCAATCCAGACTTTTCGTTGGAAAGATTGCCCATGCCATGTATCGTGAAGGTCCATGTATTCACCCTCATATTCACTGAACGGAAAGAAAGTTAAGCGGCCCGTTACCGGGTCAGCCAGGTGCATGGCAGTGGCCTCGACATCTGCCGCTTGCTTTTTGGTGGCGTTTTGGGGGCGGGGCTGATGCAGCTCGTCGCTGAAAAAGCTGAAGCCCTCGCCTCCGTCCAGAAGATCCCCGGCATCCAGGTCGTCTGATGTCGAGAACCCTGCAGAGTCCTCTGTTGATTCAGTCTCAAATTCGAGACGAAGATGGCGGACGCCGCGCAGCAGTGCAGGGCAACGCCGAGTGGAGGACAAGGACACCGACAACGACGACGACGTCTCTTGTATTGCGCGCTCTTGTAAACCCAGAAGTTTTAGGAAATGCACCAGTTTCTCAATTACAGGCCCACTTGACCGGCGGGGGATATTAGTCAAGGTAAGCGATGTCAGCCGGGGGTTCAAATCTGGCTCAAACGCCTGCGAGAAGGCCATTTCAGACCTTTCCCGGACGGTGGTCTCCGCCAACCAGTTGCACGCCATTTTTGAGAAGGCCTCTACCTCCAGTGTTGGTATCTGGGTAACAAGCGAATGGTGAAACCGAAGAGCCCTCAGATTGGACGAGAACACAGGTCGGAAGACGTGCGAGCAACCCAAGACACCGGATAGCCGCACGTCCTTTGGCCATGGGAGCGACTGCCTCGCATCAGATCGCTGCACGGGCTGGAAGGCCAGGCCATCGCAAGACAGCTCTTCGAGCTGGCCTTGGGAGCTTCTGATCAACCTCTCAACGCCTGCAGAGGTGATATGCGTGTCTGAGATGTGCAGATGCGTGATCCCGGCGGGCGCAGTGCAGACGTCGAGATGCGGCACCTCGGCCCAAGCAGGTACCGGCCGATCCATACTTCCTGCGAGTGCGGCCTTAACGTGATCCGCGATGTCTCGCCTTAATGGCGCACTGCCATTGGACCGGACTGCTTCGTCCTCCTGCAGGTCCCGAGTCGCATCGGCGGAGTAGACCGGGGCATCGACAAAGTGTCGCTCCGGATGTTTGAAGGTGCCGCTCCAGTCGGACTCTTGGGTAGAGACGAATCTGCCGTGGGAGTCATTGCCGTGGCCGTCGGATGACAATTTCCCTTCCGCCATGAACCGGGACTGAGACCGTAATGAGGGACTATTGAAGCACAATGCGGCGAATTCGTCAATGATTGCATCGGTAACGTTGTTCTCACTGAGATCTAAGCTCCACAGTCTGCCTTTGAAAGCTTGGAAAAGCTGTAAAGCAAGCCCGTCGTTGATCTCCCGGCGTCTTGCTTTGAGGGCCTTCAGATGGCACAGATGGCGACGTCCGTGAGCTACCGCCAAGAGCGGCTGCAGGGAGCCCGGAAGACCGGATACGTCCAGATAGACGAGATGTTGGAAGATGTTGGAGGTGAAAAAAGCAGACGGCAGCTGTGCCTCGCAGTGTGCCATGCTCAGCACCAACAGCGGGGGCGAAGCCCCCGAATTTGGGGCCGCATTCAAAGTGGCCGGGTCGGCCTCGGTGTGACCGTCCAACAAAATACACCGAAGGTTTGGGAGTACTCTAGGTAATAAACGCAGTGTCTCTGGTATTGTCCTGTTGGTATTGTGGAAGTGGGCGGTGTCCTTGGCGAACACACGAAAGTCAAGGGTGGTGATGAGGGACAGGGTAGACTGTCTAATGTGCTGCACGCGGTCGAAAGCAAAAGTAAGGTACCAGTCGAGGTCGTCGCTGGGATCCAGCCCCAACCGGCGGACGGCAACCAATGGGTCGTTCCAGAGGCGGGGAGCAAAAATTGCATAAAAATGCGTGCTAACAGAGCAAAGGCTGGAGAAGTCCTTGTACTCGACGTATGGTGCGACAAGCTCAAGCCAGTCGAGCCTGCTGACAGCATCCTGGTACGATGGCAATTGGGTGTCTTGGGCCATTGTCGCCTGATGAAACAGTTTGTCGGCCGACGATACGTTACAGCGAATGATCCTCCAGTGGTTGATGATCGTGGGCGATGGCCAGCGATGGCGGACGATGGCAAATGACGACGGACAGTGACAGATGGCGATAGAGATGACGATGGAGACGGCGACAAGGATGCAGCGACCTCCACTGCTGCTGCAATGCAGGAACTGCCCGCGAGCCGAACGGTACCTTACAGTGCAGCGAAAAGAGAAAAAGAAAGTAGCGCGAGAAACGCGGATGGTGAAAGAAATGCGAATGATGCAGGTCTCGTTCCAGTGAGCGACGATGCGCCAGAATGACGACGAAGTGGCGATCTAACCGAGGGGCCCCGCGTTTGTCGTTTGTCGTGTGTCGTTGGGATGAGATGGTGGTGTTGGTGGTTCAAGTAAGCGCAGGCGATCGGACGATGAGACGAATTGACGAGGTGGTGGCACCGTCGCACGTGTCCAACGTGTGTTTGCCCAACGACTGTGACGAACGGACGCCGTTGCCAGTTTGGATTGACAGATTGACAAGACAGACACAGTCCGGGCGCACCACACCTGTCTACGGACAGGTGAACCAGGCAACGAGGCTTGCTGGGCCGCCCGATTGCTTCTGCCGCCTCATGTTCAGTGTCGGCTGCTGCTTGACGTCAGGCGTCCCGGCCGAAGCTGGGGGCGTGAGATGCATGCCCACGCGGTTCGTCCGTACGTATTGAATTGCTTTGCACACGAATAAACAATGTGACGGAAATGATGGGGAACAGACTCCGTGTGGGCCAGGATGGGCTTGCGGCCGCTTCCGCTGGATTACATAAGGATTGGAGGCTTGGACAGTTACGCCACATCCGCCAGCCTCCCCCGTTTACTAGCAAGCCATTAGAGGTTGCCTAGACGCGATAATCAATAATCTCTTCCTTCAAATACAGTTGCCAGCTGAAAGAGAATGAGAGAAGTGACACGAGCCGGGGTCGGGAGGCCGCTTCGGCGCTAATGGCGCCTCCGGGACCCACCGAGCCCCATATGACGGCTTCCCCGGACCAATCCACCTGTGGCTCCGCTACCCGTGTCGCCGGCCGAGCGCCGGTCCCACATCAGCGCACGGCGCGGTCCTCGGCTTTGAAGCCTTGCTTTGGGGAAGGTTTGCGCTTCAGCCCCCCGTCAACTGTCAATCACTTCAACACCACGCCTTAATTCATCCACTCACTCAGCTGGAACAAGCAATCGCCAAGCTTGCATCCCCTGCTGTGATGGCAATCGTCGCAACCGAGCGCAAGCAGATCATCGATGGCGGAATTCCGCTTCACATCCATGCTCTTGATATTTTCCAAGACGATATCTTGCAGCCTGGGATATGGTGACTTAGGTATCTACGGGTAGAGCTAACATAAGCCAGATCTCGGTCTTGCCGTTCAACTCGTGAAATTTGTTTGCTTTGCGTCTATGCAAAGTAAAGGCGACTGTTTTCTTTTCATATCGCGGGCCACTGTACGGCTCCGGCCGAGAATGACTGTTGTTTGGAGTAAATGAACGACGCAGGAAACATCCGTAAAGAAACATCGAAACATGTTTGTTACGATCAGCAGGTCAATTAACAAATCCCCGACTGGTAGCACAACGTAATTGTCACCGTTGCAACCTAGGCCTCAGGAACGGTCACCCCTGCGTTCGAGGATGGGCAGCTGCAGCAAGCAAACCAGATGGCGCAGCTGTCCGCATTCGATCAGCTGCATCTCCTGCTGTGCAACGAAACGAACACAACAAAGCCATAACCTGAAACGTGCACTCAATAGTTGCATCTGAGCAAAGAAAAAAATCCTCCGTCTGGTTGCATACCGAGCTACCGGCCAAGATCGACGTCGTATGGGATCATCAATTCTTCAGAGTTCAATGAAGACTCACATCCGAGCGTTGGCTAGATTACTCAACGCTACATGGTGGCCTGATTGTAAGTCGCCCAATTTTCCATCATTTATGACTGATATTGACAACTCAGATAAACAAGGAAACGAGATGCCCACCAAGCCTAATCAGGGGCTTGGAAAGTGACAAGACCGAGATCGGCCATCAGGAAGGACTTCAGTCACATCGACGACCGATATAGACAGATGGCCAAAAGAGACTATGTAGAGCTAGGCAGTAGTGAAAAATCAGAAACAGGAAGACCAAAATCCATCCGCAGCACCAGAACCGCGAGGACGTTTGGCGGTTACACGGCATCCACCCTCGGCCGCCGCCTTTCCCCCGATCACCAAACCCCTTCAAGACAAGCCAGACGGAGATTTTCCAATTTTCTCCGATATCCAATGTGTCCCCTAATTGCCGGCCTCTGCAGTCTAGCCTTTTGCCTATCGCACCATCTCGCATTTTCGCCCCTGCCCCTGATGCACAACCCCCTGCCATGCCATCATCGTCGCCGTTCGGCCATCTCCCACCGAGCCCCTAGATTCCAGCGATATCGCCCCTGTCTCCTTCGTGCCCCTCTCGCACTCCATCCGCCTCATCCCGTGATCCAGCCCATTCGTTGCCCACAGGGGGGCCCAAAAGGACGACGGAAGCTTTCCCGAGCCCACATCGCTCCCAAAAACGGCCCTGGACGGCCTGAACCGCGCCCGTTGAGCGAACCCTTTCCGCCTCTGGGTTAACATAATGGAGCATAGTCACAACCTGGGCGGAGATGGGATGAACGGCTCGGAACCTACCAGTACAGCTGTCCTCATATACAGGGACGTTCCATGACAGTCGTCCCTCGCGGCGTCTTCGCCGAATCTGAGACAGGCATGTCAACCGAACCAGCTTTTCCCCCATCCACCTTACGCGCGTGAGTGGAGCAGCCAGCACCCTAAACTCGCACGCTCGGTCGGGATCAGCACAGGGACCTGCCGAGATGAGCCTCGAGAGGAGGTTTCACCTCAGCCTAGTGCACGTCGATAGGGCCCTCCAAGAATGCTACCGCGCAAGGAACGATGGGAAGGGGGCAGAGAGAATTGATTGATGCTAGTGATGCTACCTTGCAAAGGCAAAAGAAGGCCCAGATCGGGAACGCCTCGGTACTTGCGCCAATCATGGCCCCACTGCGATTTCCCAAACGGCCGAAGAGGGCATGCACGATGCAAGCTGAACCAAGATTGCGTCTGCGACCTGCGCGGCGTTGCTGCGAACCTGCGTCTGTCTGCTTTTCCTCAACAAGCTGCAGACGGGACTAACGCACGAGAGAAATGACCAAACATTTGATGTTTTTTTTCTGCTCTTTGCTTCCAAATAACGTGCATTGAAACTTTTTGTGACTGCGATAGCGGAAGACCCACTCATGCATGTGTCCTGTTTTGATTTCGGTTCTCAACTCTCTCTTCTTGCTGTCTCTTCATGGTGTAGCAATTTGTCTAATCTTCCACTCGTGCTTGCAAAAAAAATGATCTTCGTATCCTCGCCAGTACAGAGTAGTACAGTGTATCAAAAGAAATCTCAGATGGGCAACATCATCATTCAGCCGTCATCTGCCGCCCCCCTCCCGAACCATTTTTTCGCCGTTGACTTTCAGAATCTCGCCGCCACGGTAGACTAAGACAAACAAGTTGGCCTCTCCTCCCAGGAATTCGCGCCTTTGCACCACCCAATCCGCTATCCTCCTCTCCCACCTTGGTCTTTCTCACAACTTCTTTTTTGTCTCCTATTCCGAACAAAAATTTTTGTGTCTGATGATAAAAATATATGTGTCTCGTCTTTTGTGTGTGTGATTTTGTCGAGTAAATCGTAGAAAAGAATGCATGTAACGTCGTTGCGTAGTAGTAAAAAAGAACCGATGCCACCATAAAACCTCTGATAAAGCAAAAGCATCCTCCCTTCCAACTGACCCCCCCTTTCCAACTTTGAAACAGTGTAAAAATGCAGACAAATTTCCTTGACGAACGCCTCCCGCGGGAATCAAAAACTTGGGTTTTGGTTGGTGCAACGGAACATGAAAAGTTATTACAGGTTAAGAATTTTTTGTGTGAGTTTGTTGTTTAACAGTTTGTTGGTTGGTTGGTTGGTGCGGTCAAAGGCACCCCGGGGGCCCCCAACTCCCCCCATGTCATGTCGTTGCAAGGATGGGGAGGAAGCAAGCAGCGTGGCGTGCCAGGCGCAGCAGCCCTGTCTCGCAGGAGGTAGCGAGGTTGAACGGCCGTAATTTTGCTGCCATCCCGCGTCTTGGCAGGTCCCCTCTCCTCTTTCTCGGCCGCAGCGCAACCCCCCCCCCCCGGGGCCTGCGTGTCTCACAGCCGCGCCAGGCGCACTCGACCTCAGTTCTTGCTGCTGGGGCTGGGGCTGGGGCTGCCGCTGCTGGCGCTGCCGGTCTTGACGCGCTTGCGGCTCTTGCTCTGCAGGCACATCTCGTCGTAGAGCTTGGCGGCCTTCTCGTTGTACGGCGTCCTGCTGGACTTGCCCTGCTTGTGGAGGAGCAGGTGCGAGACGAAGTTGTCCCGGCGCTCCTTGAACACATGGTTGCAATTTGTTGCGGGGCATGTGTAGAGCTCGACCTCTTTCTCGTGTGTACTGGTGAGATTGTTAGTGGCTGTTATGAAGCTTGATGTTGCACGTGTGACTACTCACGCCTTGAAGTGACGCTTGAGATGCTCCTTGCGCTTAAAGGTCTTGGTGCAGTCGGGGTAGGTGCACCGTTCCCTCCTGGGCGCGACATGGCGCACTTTCACCGAGCCGCAGTCGAGGACCGAGCCGTCCTGGTTGACCTGGATGGAGCGCAGCTGCCTCAGCGCCTCCATGTCGTTCTGGTTCTTCTGCAGGGCCAGGGTCTTGCGCTGAACCTCGGCGAAGATCTGGCGGCGGGAGCCGTGGCTGTGGGCGCTGCGGTAGGCAGAGGTGGCGACGCTGGTGGGGGAGGAGCGGAGGGGTGACGGGGAGTGGGTGGTCTCGCGCTTGACGGCGCCCATGGCCTGGAGGGGGGAGGTGGAGGGCGTGGCATCGCTGCCGAACATCATGATGGGGCTCTCGCT